GAAGCTCTAGCGACATAAGTCTTTAGGAAGTTATGCTACTAACCCAAAACTTCTGCCCTCCAACCCGTTCAAAACCACCTGCGGTTTTGCAAGAGAAAGATGGGCCATCATCTTTCTTGTGATTTACAGCCTTTGAAAATCCTCTGGAGAGTCAGTTATATTAAGTTGGATCCAACTTAATGAGAATGAGCTTTAGATGTGATGGTTAGAAGGGTTCTAGTAAGTAATTGAACTCAATCTCATAGAGACCCTCTTGGACAAAACAGAATTGCTCCATGTTTTGAAAACTGAGGTCATGGTGAAGTATAGTACCGCTACCACTTCCCGAAGAGTGAATTATAGATTCAAACCACCAACCTTTCAGCTAGCAGTTAATCAATATGCCATTAGGAATTCCTCTGAGTTTCAAATCTGCTATAATATAGGAAAACCAGTTGGTTCCTCTAGTTCCTTAAGACCAAACTAAATGCTCTATTATTTTGACAACAACATTCCTGTTATGAGGCAAGTACATGCTACTTATCTGGTTATTATTTTTCCCAGTGACATAATGTTTTCAATGCTGGCCTGCTAACCAAAGGCTGCAAATTAGAATCCACAAGCCTCTCCTTAGGAGAAAATGAAAGTCTCTTCTGTACAGCCTGTAGCCTCAGAAACCCAATGGTGGGTCATAATGAATTGGAGTCAACTGGAGGGCAGTGAATTGGGGGGCGGGGGCGGGTCTGGTGGCTCTCAGGATTGTTGTTGGATGCTGTCTCATAGTTTCTAACTCATAACTACCTCATGTGACAGAGTAAAATTAAAGCAGCTAAATTCAATTGATATAACCAACAACAGTCATTAAACTGTCCGACTCTGGGGTTTAGAGTCAGAAAGTTTGACTTTACAAGTTCTTCTTTCCTGACAAACATATCAAAAAATTCTCTTTCTTGTTGCTGCTGTTGTTGTTGTATAACATTGAGTCAGAAGCGACCCACAGCTGACCCTCCAGAGCATTTTCAGAGGCAGTTAATCACACGAGAAGAGACTGCCCATCTTTAGGGAAAATATTACTCTTGCATAATGCCACTAGTTGTTTATTTTATGTTTCCAGTTTGGATCCTTGAACTAACAACTAATGACAAAAATGTCTTCACATCACTTTCTCCAGCCATGGGCACTCGTTTTCTTGTGGAGAGCATTTCAGTGTGGCCATCTGTGATAGCTTAACACTAATGCTCTTTGCTCTAGTAACAACTGGCAAAGCAACAATCACACCCAAATATTAAAGTGATCATTCAGAGCTGGCAGCTTCACTTCTAGGAGAAATGCAGCCCTTTAAAGACAACACAGGGAATCTAGCTGCCTTGTTGGGATCTAAGTAAACTCAAAGAATTGTAGGTCATCCAGGAGAGAAGCAATGTCATTGTTCACCCTCCAAGAGAAAGTGGGAATTGAGGAATCGCTTGAGGGCCATGTTTGGCATAAAGAAAATAAAAATGGAGGAGGAAAGAAATTCCCAAATTGTAACGTGACCTAGTTCCTTCAACTAAGCTCCTGCTCCATAAGGCTGTTCCAAATGCTATTTTAATCAAACTCAGCCTTTGTTGGAGCTGCACTAGCAGAGCACAGCTACTTTCACCAAGAGCGCTCTGACAGAGCAACAGCCAGAAGCACAGAGTGATATCAGCATCATGACCATTTCAGTGCCATTTAACTAGATTGCTGTTCATTACATCCTGCAGAGAGAGGGAAATGTGATTCCTTTTTGTTAACTTTGGTAGCCACTCGCTGTCTACAAAGACAGAATACCTCCTGGTGTTGGACTCTTACAAACATACCTTTTTCCCACTGATCATGCAAATATACCTCATCCATCATTGTAATTCCATAGGCTTTACACTCTTCCTCTTAAAAAAAAAACCCTAGTCACTATAGGCGCCCAATGACTGTAGTCATATTTAATTGACATGCTATTATACATACTTTGGAAGAAAAAGATACTATAAAAAATTCATAAGCAGAAAGAGTATAGAAAGAATGATTTGATATAGGAGATTTTGGAGAGATCTTCCCTACAAGCCTGAACATTTCAAGCCTCATTGTCTTCCTAGCTATTATATTTTTAGCACAGGAAAATAGAAATAGGGTACTCCTGTAACTTATGCAGTTAGAACCTTTTACCGTCAATGTGCGTGAAAGCGTTAATCTAGTAACTGATGGAACACTTTCAGCTATTGCTTGGATTCTGGCCATGGCTGCCTCTGAAAGAATGAACTGAGCTTTGCATTTCACAAGGGTATGTACAGTTCAGGTACTGAAGTCTAGACCTGCTAGTACTCTCAGTTCTTATAATTCCGTCACCACTCAACAGAACACTTTATTGATAGATGGCTGTACATTACAAAACAAAAACATTCAAATAACCAAAAATAAAACTCCCTGTCCCTGTGCCAGTTATGATGACTGCATGATTGCTGAGTAGCCCCTCTGCACCATAGGGTTATTAATGCTTGTCACAGTTTTCAATGCTTGTGATCTTTGGAAAGCAGATCAGGCCTTTCTTGTTAAACACTTCTGGGTAGATTTGAACAGTCAGACTTTAGTTGCCAAGTGTTTAATGTTTGTGTCACCCCTGGACTCCCTGACATTCACATGTTGGTAATAACTACTTTTTTGAACATTAGGTGCTAGTCATTGTTCCATCTTCAATCAATAACTAACTCAGGAACTAAGTTCTAAGTTTAAAACTTATTCTCAGAGTTGAAGCCTGAATTCTCCAGATGTTATCAAAAGCAATACTGATTGGTAATTGATGGGAAAGAATCTGATCAGGAGGCAAATAGTAATCACCTTATCATTGTTAAGTAGTCATATAAATGCCATGACCTTAATTAAAAGTATGGCTGCATTTATTTTTTTAAATTTTATTTTATTAATTTTAATGAACATTTATAGAGATTTTAGATTTCCATTCATTCATTGTTGCACTACTTTCTCTACTCCCCCCCACGCCCCGAGTTCGTTCCTCTCTTTTTTTTCTTGAAAGTCTGTTTTAATTTTCCCCTTGCCACAGTGCTTGTCAAAAGTTCTGATTAATTTCCTTTTTCAGTGTGCTTTTTGCCATTCCCTATCACTCCTCCCTGAGAGAGATTTCACCCTGATTCATAAACAAATGCATGTTGCAGAAAAAAAAACACCCCTCCCCCCAAACAACCAATTAAAGATGGTTCTTATGCTATTGAGGTCTTTACTCAGTTTCTTTTAAGAACTGGGGAAAGGGCACTTTGGAGGAGCAAATGGTTTAAATGTGTGTATTAAGAGCCTGGTTCTTTTATCACTGAGATGGGTGGTTATCTTTAATCACAGACCTTCACATTACATCTCACACATGCAAGATAATCAATACTTACAACAGTAAATGAAGGGACTACAGTTTGTTTGTATCTGTTTGCTGATGTTGTGTCAGCCTATTCATGATGACTCATTTGCATCTTGCTCCACCCCCATGACTAGGTGCAAATTGGACATTGTGATTCATTACGCTTCCATGGACTATTTTCAGGAAGTAAATATCTAGACCTGTTCCCATTGTTATTGGTAGGAGCCCTTAACTTGACTATGACTCATCATGACCCCAAGAACAACAGATGGAAACTATCCCATCTTGTGTCATCCTAACAAGCTCTACCATGCTCAGATCCAATATTGCAGTAATTTCTTCCTAGTCCACTTTAGTCTTGAAGCTCTGCTGAAATTTATTCAGAAGTATAGAGACATTCAAGCTTTCACTGGTCAAGTGGTGGCTGTGCAAGTGCATTGGCCAGAAATGAAATCTTAGTCTCATTCATGGATGGTTAGAATTTTAGTCCCAATACCCTACCCTATGGACTATAAATAACTATTCTTTAAAAGTGTTAACTATCTTATCTAGAATTGTTTTTAAATACAACAGGGTGAAAACATGAATGTATTTCCTTTAAGCATATCAATGCAGAACAATGAATCCAACTTGGGTATGTCCTAAAGACTGGCATCTTTTCAAAGGAAAAAAATGGATACACATATCTAAGAAGATTGAAAACTAATCAGGTACTTCTTGGGGGGGCATATTTTACAAAGAATTTTGTAAGAAGTTGCCTCAATCTCAGAGTAGTCTTCTAAATTTCTATTTCTTGGTGATCTTGGAAAAATCAGTTCCTTATCAGAGTGGGTGAATGGAGAAAGGAATACATGTTTATTGAGTACATTATGAAATGTTCAAATATATACCTAAACCCAATAACCAAAATGGACTTTTTCTCAGTGAAAGAAGTTAATTAGTCTGGCAGCTTTCCAAGGGGTCAAAAGAACATTTAGGAACAGCACCAATTGAAACTTTATTTCTATTCAACACTCTCATACTTCCTAACCCAGGTAGACAGTTACTTGGACATGACAGTTGTAAAAACTCAGAAATAAAGAAAAGGTGCTTGATTTTTAAAATGAATATTCTAATCCCTATGTTCTACTAGACCAACTTGATATAGACACCCAGCTCCTTAAGAATAATAATATTTTTTCCTATCCATCAGGTAACAGTCTCAACACATGCTCCTCGCCACATAGCAACGATCTTGCTCAAAGTGCTATACAATTCTTAAGAGAAATTGAAACATCCAGTCTTCAGAATAAAAATTTCCTAATTATTACAAATACGGTTCCTAAAATGAACAATAAGAATTGATCGTAGATTATGATGCCTTTAAAAAAATTGTCTAATTGGATTAATGATAATCAAAGAGATTAGCAGTCCTAATGGTGGTAAAACACTTAAAACTACCATATCCACTAAAAAAGGTCTTTATTTTTCTATAGCCTGTTTTCTTTTTGTCACCCCTCCTTTTACTTATTCTTGTTTTGTTTTGCTTTCATCCATTTGACTATATGGTAGCTTATTTGAGCAAATTAATGGTAGTTGGTAGATGGTGACTCTCTTTATATTATGCACAAACATGTAGAAATTAAACAGAAGGTGTTACCTAGAATGCAGAGGCCATCTGTGCAGTTTTCCGATTCCTGGCTTAGACCTTCACAGAATTTGCCCCCATTTCTTGGGGGTGGTGCTGTGCACTCCCGGATCCGCAAATGCTCACACTCTGGGCTGCAGACTGACCATTCACTCCACACTTCCCAGCTCCCATCCACTTCAAAGAGAAACAAAACAAACCCGCTATTAGCATGCACGGGGCAGCTGTCAGGAGATTTCGCCCCAGAACTGCTGTTGTTTTTAGAGCTGGATTTTAAAAAATTAACCACCACGGCAAAACACAATAACATTATCAGTTTCTCTTCTCTCCATAGTTTCTTTCCTCAGGTGATGCTCTAACAAAAGCAGTAGTATAAATCTCTAGCTATTTCAGGATGGAATCAATTACTGAATTGAGGTAAGTATTCAGATTATGAGTGCCGTTGCATCGACTAATAATGCCATTATCCATTCTTCCTCTGGTTTTTTTGCCCAAGTGCATTCTGGATGGACAGATAAACTATGTGCAGCATCCACTGCTAATCAGTCATTTCTTGTGGGCTGACAACTTAGGAAGAAAAGTAGAAGGCACTATCTTTTAAGCCCTACAAACCCCTAAACAATAAAAAGTTAAGCCCATATATTGATAGCATTAAACTAAAACAGGTCAGTCAAGCCCCACGACACCAGGACTTACATAAATAGAATTTCTTGGGTCATAGATTGCTGCTGTATGGAGAAATGAGCAAACTGAATTTAATTCCACTTTAAAAAATCAGCCCTAGAGATTATGGCAGCTGTTTGAAGCAATTGTCCCACTATCTCCTAGGAATAGTTCAACCATGCTTATGTGGGTTATTTAAAATACTGCAATTTCTAATCTAAGGTAATTAGTCCACAGTAGGGTAATGTGAGAAACACTAAAGTTAAAGTTGAATGACTGAGTTGTTGTCCTTATTTAACAAAATTGTTGACCTGACTCAATCACTTAGCTTCCCTCCTGTTACCTTCCTGTTAATGGAGGATAATAAAACTCACAACACAAAGTTAAATGACATTATATGCATAGAAGTACCTTGCACAGTATCTGGCACACAGTAAGCACTCAATAAATGTTTATTGAATATGAATCCAAACTTCAAGAAGATGCTCCTGGTGAGAGTCTCATTGTATCTTTCAGGAAAACGAAATTTAAAACTTTAAGGAAATGAAGCTCTACTCCCATGTCCTTGACATTACTGTCCTGCAGTATGCAGGAGATCCAGGATCAACCTATTTCTTAGTGAGAGGAGATGCTTTCCATAAAGAAAGTCAGTTTCCATCTCATCTGTCTCTCAGTGTTTAAATTGAGTTAGAGACAGTAAGAGATGAATCAAGGAACTCACAAAAGCCCTCTTGGGTAAATGAGTTCTCTCTCTACTCAGAAAGTAAGGCAAGCATGGATCAAATGTAAAATATAGACTGCTGTGATATGTGCATGATTTTTGCCAATTGCAATGTAAATAAATACAAAGCTGAAACCGAAAGGTCTGTCATTTGATTGGCGTCCAATGGTAAAGGGTCAAATTTTCAGCACCTGCTGTTTTTCTGCTTGCAGGGAATTCATCTAATCCCTGCTAGCTATTACACAATGCATGCCATCAAATAAGAGAAGCCAAGGAGAGAAGGCAATGGTAGTCTAATCAAACACTGGCAGATAAAAGTACTTTGCAGCATTTGACTTATTTGGTGAGTGCCCAGTGTCATCCAAGTACTAAAAATAAAAGTCCCAAACCTTGGCTCAGAGTTAACCCATGTTCTTGCCATTACAATGAGCTCCACAGTAGCACCTTGGGCAAAAGCTCCATCCTAAGAACGAATGGAAAGGGGTAACTTTGGAAAGGCTGGATACTAATTCTTTCACACCAGCTTAAAAGTGTTGGTGGATCAGAAGGGAAAAGGGAATCTATGTATATCTCACCAGGACAAAGAGAAGTGCAGGTTATTTTCTGCACTGACATTCCCTCACAAAAGGCTCCACCATTGAGAGGAGCTGGATTGGTGCAGGTCCGGGAACGTTTCTGCCATCCTCTACCACAGCGAACATTGCAGGCTGACCACTCTGTCCAGGAAGACCAGCCTCCATTCACTGAGAGAGAAAAAGTGGGGAGGGGAGAAAAAAGGAGAGAGGTTTTTACTGGTTGCCTACTGTGTGCAAGCCACTGTGCCAGGTGTTGTGAGTCTGGGATCTAGGGAACAAGAGACCGTGCAGACCCCCACTGGCACCTCTTTCAGGGATGCAACAGTGGGGCTTCTCTCATCTCTGCCCCTCAGCCTACTCATAGGTGATAGCAGGGAGGCTCAAAAGATGCTTTTCAAGGAAATTATGAAAAATAGAAAGAACTCATAAAAATATCTCCAAAGTACTTGAAAATACACAGCATAATAAAGGGAAGATCAGCATTTGAAATTCTATTACTTAAAGTGCTTCAAAAGTAAATCCCTGTGCTCCTTCATGGTGGAAGGGAATACCTTTACTTACATAGCTGAGAACATCTTCTATTCAATACCTGTGATAATTCAGCAAATAGTAGTGTTTGTTTTGAGTGAATTTCATTATGCCAGGAGAGGGATTGGCTTACAGCTGGTTTGGGGGGAAATGGTAGTGGGTGTTTTGTTGGGGAGGGGTTGGAAAACAGAAGCTGCCCGCTTCAACTCTTTTTCAATACATACCCAATGGAAGAAGGTAGACAATGTTTTGTTATCTTAAGGAGAGAGATTGGAAACGTCACTGACTATCTTCAAGAAGTCCGATATTAGATGGAACAACAAATACGTTCATAACAATAAATTGGAGAAATGCTTTTTTCACCTGCATATAGGGAGGAAGGACCAGGGCTTCTGTGGAGGAGCCCAGGGTCCTTTCAGCTCTGAACACTGGAGCCTTTAATAAAATGCACATTCCCTCTATTCTCTGCTTCCCACCCTCCCAATCTTTTCCTGGCCTTTGGGCTGGTCTTACCATAAACCACCACAGTGGCTGACAGGCTCCTTCGCTTGGCCACGATGTTGGCTGCCATGCAGGTATAATTCCCAGAGTCTGAGAGCCTCGCCTGTCTTATGATCAGGTTGTGGTCAGCCCGGGTGTCAATGTTCTCATCTTGCTCAGAATCAATGGGCTCCTCATTTTTCAGCCATTCCACCTGAAAGAAGACATGAACACAAATTTAACAACTCGAAAAATAAGGATGTTTTTCTGGAAGTTGAAAGCGGGGAGTGCTGGTAAGGGGAAAGTGAGCGAGCTCTAAATTATAGAGCAAAATAAATGATTTGTTCCCCTTGCTTTCATCTCTCACCCTTTTTCAGCAGTAAATTTAGTATAGTCAGGAAATGAATACTCAAGTTGGTAAACTGGAAGCTGGAAAAGAACACAAATATTCTATTGACTTTGACCTATTTTCTAAAAATGCATTGGGAGAAAGAAAAGAGATGACTGTAATTAGGTCATTTCATTACATTTCATTTTATTACAATGCTGTTGATGGTATTCCAATAATTGGTCCAAAATGTTGCTCAGAGAATCAATACATATATGCAGAGGCTGTCTTCTGTGCTGAGAGGATATGATGTTGTAGACAAGTCAATATGTAACAAATAAAATTGCTTTAATAAAGGCAGGAAAGCAAACCAAAGTAAAAGTAATACAGACTCAAATAGTCAGACACATAGATTGAATCCAAAGTTTAGGGGTCTTTGGGGTTGGGTTGACCCAGTAACTGCAACAGTGAGCTTGAGTATATATGTGACCATGGAACAGGTTATAGCAAGATTCCATCTGTTGTTCATAGGATTACTGTGAGTAATAATGAGTGTGATGGCACCTGCCAACAACAACAGGTTTGGAGATGTTTCTTTGGTGACCATCATGTAGGATGATCTTTGTATCTGTGTGAGGCATCATGACACATTTAAAGTTCAACCACTGTTCTGGAGGAGTTTGTGTCTTTTACCTGTGAACACAGGCGTGCGTGTGTGTGTGTGTATGCACAAGCCAGGTGTTTATTTATAGTTTAGAGCAAATAATAAATATATTGGCATTGGGGGCGGGTTTATACCAACTCAACTTAATCCACAAGAAAGTCTTTTCTGTATAAGACCTTTATTTGAGTTGCTTCCAGCATTAGATTTTATTTTTAAAAACTACCTCTTTTCAAGAGATAGTTTCAAAAGTTTCTGCCCCGAACATAACCCTCCAATTTCTTTCTTTCTTCTTGACTGAATAGAACTGGAAACTTACTTTACTTTCATAGCAGACACCTCCTATCCTATTGTACAGGGTCCCTAGTCCCTAGGTGATGCAAGCCGTTAACACAGTCATTTGCTGACTGAAAGGTTGGAGAATCAGAAAATCCTTTGTCCTCTTCTTAACTCATAATTGATTGCCATCCAGTTGTATCGGACTCAGAGGTGACCCACCAGAGGGTTTTCAGAGGCTATAAATGGCACAAGAAGACAGTGTGTGTCTTTCTCCCATAGAGTAGCTTGTAGATTCAGACTGCCTGCCTTTGGCTTGGCGGTGTAACTCCTTTCCCAATATGACACTAGAGCTGCTCTTCCTAGTACCACTTTCATTTTATTCTTGTGCCAAACTTCTCTCTGAATACCAGAGGAAGATACAAGAGGCACACTGTCACTCCCTGGTTCCTCACCTTCCCTTCACTGAAGTGGACTTCCCTCAGCCCTCTATTCCAGTGAGGACGGTGATTTTCCCCAGGATCAGTTACCTTCTTTGTCTAGTTGTCCTCCACTTTCACTTCTGAACATCTCTCTTCTCCAGTGCCTTGTTGGTAGCACTAGATCCATCCCTTGTTTGACAATAACCATTTAGTCACAGCCATTAGCATATGGAAAGCACAGTAATTTACCAGACACATAAAGACTATAATTTAACACAGAATCAACAGTGGTGACTGCACCAAAGAGACCTCACACAGCAACATGTGCCTCAGGGGGCATTTCTGCACACTCTACCCACCATTAGCATAGATAATTGAAAGTTGGGCTTTTTTTTTAAATAAACTGCCTCATTTCATTTCTGTGTTTAAATGTAAAAAAAAAAATCTAATTTATCACCAATAAACAGGTGGCATCTGCTTCAAAACAATTTGCTTTGATAATGATGTACTGGTTTCTGTAAGAGGAATTTATTTAGAAGAAAACCTAAAATGATGCTGAAATATTTGTCCCAATCACTACCCTGCTAATGAGAGTTCAGAGTACCAAAGGTCACCATCTCCCAAAGTTCAATCTAGCACAGATCAGTCTGAGAAAAGTTGATGATGCCAAATGACTAAACAAAAAGATGGGAGGGCTGCCTTAAAACAGGGAATACTTACAAAGACAGAATAGCACAGAGTCATTAAGAAAAACAAGTTTTGCAATCAAGCCCAGGAGTTCCTCAGGGCAGCACCATATTTCCACCTAGAAGAGTAGCTACCCGTAAGGACGCAGAGTCAAAAATAGTCAAGAGAGTGGAGGCAATTTTAAAGCATATCAGATAGCCTGTCTGTGGCACAATGTCCTCTTTATCCCCCCCTAGAATTGCATATTTCACAGTCATTCATTTGTCAACTTGACAAATATGCAATAATTTCTTGAATATCGGAGGTTGCATTACGAGTTGAGTAAAGCAAGCTGGTAAAAAAGCTGGTAGCACAGTGCTTAAAATACTCAGCTGCTAACCCAGCTGTTCCAGTGCACCAGCCACTCTGCAAGAGCAAGATGAGACAGTGTGGTTCTGTCAAAACAGATAGGCTTAGAAACCCTCTGGGGCCATTCTTCATTGTCCTTGAGGGTCTCTTTAAGTAGGAAGTGTCTGAATGTCAAAGGGTTTATACTGTTGTTGAATACTAGGTGAACAAAACTTCTTTGGTCTCTTTGATCACATTTCTTACATTTGATGGGTAAAATGAAACTAAATAAGTAAATCCACATTTTTATTTTTTAAAAACAATAGTGACATTGTTGCAAATATCTGGGATGAAATAATTATTGTTACACTGGATTTGGTATTAAGTTTAAAAATCATCTTCCATGCTTCATCAACAACATTCAGCAAGAGAGACATAGCTTTTGTTTGCTTGTTTGCCATTTTTCCCCTCTAAGACTGAGAGAGATGGGATGACATGCACATATTTCTGCTGGACCACCACAGTTAAACTATTCTGTCTAGAGCTTCCATTCCTGCATCTGCAGCTAATTCTCCACAAAGGAATTAGATTACATTACTTTTACACTGAAACCTTTCAACGGCTTCAAAATCTCATTCTGAACAAAACCTAAAATCCTTGCCAAGACTAACAAAGTTTTGGGAGCCAATCCATTCTCTACCCTTCAGATCCTCCAAGTACCCTCTCACTCTCCCTGCTGAGGCCTTGCTGGACCTCTTACTGTTCCCAGAAGGCTCCAGTCAACCAAACTCAGTGACTTTGAAGTTGCCATTCTCTGTCCCTGGAAGTCCATTCTCTCTGGTGTATACAAGGCTGAGTTTCATCTTTTCATCAAGTGTCAGCTCCTATGTCACCGTCTCAGAGAAGCCCTTTCTAACAAAACTTTCTAAAATAGCTAATGCCTTATTCTTTCCATTGTGCTTTAAGTTTCTTCTAATACCTGTCTCCATCTGAGAGTCTGAAAGATTACAGTGTATTTTGTTCTTTTAATTATTGTCCTAGGAATTTTCAAGAGAAAAAATAGCAAAGGCATGAACAATGATTTACAATAAATTATTTCTGAAAGAAGGACTAGGAGATAGATGCCAAGTTACTTGTCAAATTGATAGACTTTTTTTAAAATGGACTTTTTTTTTTCAGATTGTAATTTAAAACATGACTTAATATCATATAGTCATTAAAAATCATAATATTCATATAGGGGAAAGGCCTAAGTGTCTCATCATATGTGAAAAAGGCAAAATACAAAACAAACAAAAATGTTAGCAAAAATTTGTAAAAAAAAAATCATCAATGCAATTACACTTAAAATCTGGAAAAGAGAAAAATTTTTATAGAGATTTTAACAGAAGTCTAGTGCAGATTGGTTTGGGTTTCTGTTTTGTTTTTCCCCCCGTCCCTGAGGGCTAATTGTAGCACATCTAAGTAAAAACTCTACTCACTTTCCTCTCAAAATTTCTCTTATAAAAAACAGAATAGTTTCTAAATTTATATTTAGACATAGAATATTCAATTCCAAGCTTATCTGAAAAACCCAGGTGAAAAACAGATAAAAAGAGGTTGTATGATGGATGCATAAGATAGGACATCTGAATCCCAAAAATTGCAGACCCAGAACAACACCAGTTAAGCCCCAGGCAGGACCTCTTCTATTTGCCAACTCCAAAGTGAATCCCTCAGTCTTGAATGAAAATGTGAATGGAGTTCCTAGGTATGTCTTCACCACCCACTTGTTTGTTACACAGTGATGATTTGAATGTTGCTGCTCTAATACAGAACAAGTTTCAGCAGACCTTCCCGGCTCAGATAGAGTAGGATGAAAGGGCTGTCGCTACCCTTCTGAAAATCAGTCATTAAAAGTTCTATGGGTAGAAATAGTCCAATTTACAATCTATCATGCCAACAAGACAGACAGGCAGGGCTTGTTTCTTTATGTATAGAGTTGTCCACTATATAGAACATAATAACAGTTGGGAGGTTTGTTGCACAACCACTTAGATCATATGAAGCCATTTTGCTCTACATACAACCTGCCTTTGCCCCACAGAAAAGTACTGTGGATATATGCTTAGATAGTTACTGTGAGATCTCCTCAGATCACAATTTGAAAGTGATATGGAATGAATGAGGTGGCATTGTGGTTTCCTTGGTGTTGTTTATGGTGTCATGACTGAGACCCATCAATCCAATTATGTCTATAAACAATCAGAACATTAGCAGACTCGATTATCCATGGGGTGATTTTTCATTTGTAGTCTAATAGTTTATCCATTTAACTGATGGCAGGATCTTTATGAGCAAATCAGTTTGGTATTTTCTGGGCTTATAAAAGTGACAAATTGCACTTGGATTTATGTATTTGTCACTTAGAGAAATTTTAAAACATTTTTGATGAGCTAAGTGCTCCTGCTGTAGAAGAGTTTAATAAATAAGATAGAGGCAAATACATTCCCTACACCAGCAGTTGCAGTCTC